AAGTATTTTAGAAGTGGGAAATTTCATTTGTACCCAACGTTTACATGCCCCTCACATGGGGACGAGGCCCTCACATGGGGGCAGGTACCCGGGTGCAAATAGCTCGGTCCTTTAGAAATTCCACCATTTTTTTTCATTTTAATTTAATAGAAATATCATCTGCATCTTATGGCAGTTGCATTCTCATTAGTAATTCATTAGTATATTGCTATATTTTACGCTCAATAGACATGAACAATTAATAACAACATCTTCAAAGTAGTAAACAATCAATTAAAACCATCAAATTTATAGACAATAATAAATACTTTCTACAACTATCATGACATGGTGTCAGTGATTGCAATTAAAAAAAGTTACGTTCTAAGTTATCGGTCCACAGTTGTAGTAATGCATAAAAAAATGTCCCAGACAAGTACAATTGTAAAGTATGCTAAGTAGGAGCCTGTTTGGGAGTGATGTTGAGAATTGATTTTTTAACCGTTAGGAGAAAAGTGGGGTCCACTTGTGAGAGAAGAAGTCAAATATGACGACTGAAATAGTAAAATAACGATCAAAAATCAATTTTTTTGTTGAAAAAATTGGGCCCAAACAGGCTCTAGGCCACAATCAAATATGAAATATTAAGGGGCTGTCTAGGCGTGCTTCTTGCAAAATGGACAATTGATTTCCTGTCAAGTCATTGGGCCCACATGATCATTCAATGCAAAGCATTATGTGTGCGTGTTCACTTTGCCCTCACATGCCTCCCACTTTTGGAATGTGCTAATCAATCGAAGGGCAAAAATGAGAAAAAGCCCCTGACATTTATCTGTGGGAAGTCTGAGAAGAGCCAGCACTTTGAATTTTTCAAACGGTAAAAGGCAAAGTAACTGTGCGAAAATTGATTTTAATCTACTTTGAAGAGGTACCAAACAGGCGCTAAAGGTGAAAAGTTAGATATGAAATGGTTGTGTAGGGAGAAAATCTTCAGCAAGTGGTGTGACCGTCCTATAAGGGATGACCACCCCGACGGGTGGCCCACCACGTACCCTTGAGGTGTGTGGGCCACCCACCGAGTTGGCGCCTCGGCATTGGGCGGTCACACCATGTGGACGGTGCGATCATCCTACTGAAGATTTTCTCGTCATGTAGAAATAAAACTTTGAACGTTTATGTCTAATCTAATTAAAATAACTCAATAATAACAATAAATTACAATTACAAATATATCAAAATTAGTCACGATAGCCTTTTAATAAAATTTACTATAATAACAATTAGGGGCTAGGGCAACCCTCGACTTTAGCCCAATCCTGCTCTAGGCGTGTAACTACAAACATATCAAAATCTATTGATGCTATGTTTTTAACCTTTGATGATAGGCATTGAATTTGAAAATCCCTAAACCTCTTTACGAAGCTAACATGAAATGATTGCTGGGTGTCTCCATGCACTGCCGTCTTCTTGAAGGTGTGTCACGTTATGACTTGGTATTAATCATTTTCTTCCAATTTAATGTCTGCAATGTAGTTAGCATAGAAAACAATTATAATAAGATATCTCTTCCTTTAATTTTTATTTTTTGCCACCTTTTTTGAAATTTTAATTGTGACCTCCCAACTCAAAATGTCTGAATCCGCCCTTGCTTCAAATTACTCAAAGAAGTTGCAAGTAGGTAGACAGTATTAAATTGACACTGTCGTAGCTCATGAAAACTACCATAACTATTTTTATAGTCCTTCGTTCAATTGATTCAAAGTCTCAAATATAGCCAGCTCAAAAGGGTTTCAAAACCAACTTTCCATACCAAGAAGCGTGAAAAAAATTGACTGGGACAACGGTTTGAATTAAGCATTAGAAGCTGGAAGTTGGACTGAGTGCTAGCTTCACATCTCAAATACAATAAAGCCACTCAAACAGGGACTGTTGATATGATTAGGTGACTGGCGCTGCTATGGTTTTTTTTTTCCCCCGATTTGTCCAATGAATATTTGACCAGCATCCCCTATTTTAAATCATGTCATTGACCCTATTTGTGTAGCAAGGTTGTCTCAAATAATAACCAAGCATCCCAAATATATTATTCATCAAAAATTGAGGTTCCGAGTATTAATTCTTGATCAACAAAATAGTTGACTCCGAGTAATACCTAGATTTGACCATGGTTCCTATTGAGGCAAATCCTCATTTTAATAATGTTATTCGGTAATCCGCCATCGATTACAACGACATCTTTAATACTTTAAATTTAAACATATTCGCTAGAATTTAAAAAAGTCAAGTCTATGACATAAACAATGCACAATTTTCTAAAAGGGTCATTAGTACAAAAGGTCATCTCGTTTGCAATCATTATGTACGTCGTCCATATTGTTTTAAATTTGACAATTACACCCTCATTTTAACAGTTTCTTGTGGATTTGGTCCTTTTTGTTTCATTTCCTTCTGTCAAATATGAATAATTTGTGCAAAACGTCCATATTGTATTCCTTTATTGGGCAAAATGTCCCTATCGTTTGCCTTCACTATGCAAAAAATCATTAGCATCTATTTTTTTTCATTGTAATATTACTAATTTACCCTAATCTTCAAATAAATTTTTGGATTTTGAAAAATTACAAACGAATATTAGGTAAAATAATCTAAAACATACTAACAAAAGAAATATATTTCATCTTTCCAATTAACCCCACCTAGCCTTACCCCTACCCTTATCCATCCTGTACTCTCCACCGCAACCACCAAAATAATTAAAAAGAGAAATAAACAGGGATGGCAACGGGCAAGTTCCGGGCGTCGTCTCACCCAAACCCTGTCCTGTCCTGCCTCGCTCAGCCTTGGAAAGGACGGGGCAGGGCGCAACAACTTTTTGCTTCGTTTAATTTATTTAATTTATTTTTTTATTTTTTTACATTTTCA